AACTAAAGAAGAAACACTTCCAAGTAATATAAAGTGGGAAGATATCATCAAAATCATACCTGTGACTCTTTAATACACAAGTCTCTCCCGGCTAGTGGTGCACACCTTTAAACCCACCAGCTCTTGGGAGGCAGAAGCAGGTGGATCTCTGTGATTTTGAGACCAACCTGGTCTACAAAGTGAGTTCTATGACAGCCAGAGCTACATAGGGAGACCTGCTCCTGGAAACAGACAACAAGTGTTGTCCACACCTGGGGATGTAATCTCCCTCCTAATATCTATGCCTAATTTGTGTTAATATCTGTCCTAATAAGCCAGTGCTTTGCTCCAGGTTGACTCACCCTGAAATTCTTCGCTGCACTAAAGTCAAGGACACAGCTTCAGAAAAGTGGCTCCCACGGCTGTGGTCACTGACAGCACAGGGGAAGGGCTCCGTGGGGACCACACGAGGCTACACACAGCTGTGTTGTAAGGTGGCAGGCAGTTTCTAGCATCGGTGTGTGTGTCTAGCATCGGTGTGCGTTCCAGGCAGGAGAAAATGGACTCCAGCCTAGGGACAGGCACATGGAATTCTCTGTTGTGCTGGCTCTCAGGGCCGAGGCTCAGGAGCGTCCTGCCGTGATAGCCAGTGTTCCTCTTTCATCTGTCCTCAGTGTTCCTTCTTTACCGCCCAGGTGAGGGTCACATCTGGGTAAGCTCCTGTGCCTGGCATTTCCGGTAAGCTGATATAGTCACAGACATCGTCATTTCTTGGTCCAAATCAGTTTGTGCCTTCTGGTGTGCCGGCAAATGGAGGTTACTTCTGCGAACAAGATGCAGAGACATTCTGTCGTGGCGACTGGACTCAAAATGGAGGAGCTCAGATCAGCCTGTCACTTTGTGTCACCTCTGAGCCAGGCACTGCAAAGTTTCTTCTGCTGAGAACCATTGACCCCATTCCCGTCAGCTATCAACTATCGCTTTCAAAATTACTGTTTTGTGGGGAAGTTTATCAGGATTGTGGATCCCGACACTAATTTCCAAAGATACAGAAAGCATACGCTCTCCACCTACCACAGGGACTGGTCACAGAGAGATCTGGCCGGCCTAGAACGGGCAGGAATCCCACAAACCCAATTCCTTTCTCTTTGAAAATGGGGGCTCCCATTTTCCTATGCCAGACTTAAAAACTGGAAACAGTCTTGGGCACAAGTACCCTTCTTCCAGGAAGGGACGGTTTCCCTCCTCACAGCTAGGCTTATGTGTGGTCTGGTGTTTGTCTAGTGAGCACCTTACAAATTGTGAAATGGAGGCTGGCAATAGCTCAGCAGGTAAAAGCTCTTGCTGTACAAGTCTGAGGACCTGGGTTCAAATCCTGGAACCCAAGTAAAGGTGGAAGGAGAGAACCGACTCCACGAAGCCACCCTCTGATTTCCACATACTCACTGTGGCATGAGCCCTCACATACCAAAAATAATTTTTAAAAAATTGTAAAAATATTAAAATGTAAGACGGCCACAGACAAAACAGAAGGGACTTGGCTATGTGTCCTCCTGTTCCTGTGTTTCAACAAACTATAAATAAGTCCATTTCTTTTTATCAATTTCTGTTTAATTTTTGTGTCTTTGTGTGCACGTGTGTGGGGGTGGGGTATGCATGGTGTAGTCTTGCATGTGGACGGATACATTTGTATGCACATGTGTATGGGAGTCCTAAGGCTGATGTCAGGGATCACCTATTACTCTTCCACCTTGTTAACTGAGTCAGGATCTCACAGTCCAAACCAGAGCTCACTAATACGGCTAGTCTGAGTAGCCAGCTGGCTGTGGGGCTCCAAGGCTGGACTCGCAGCTGGGCCGCCACGGCCTCTGGTGTTTACAGGGGATTCGAACTTGGGCCCTCACACTTTTGCAGCAAGTGCTTCACCCACTGGGTCAACTCCCCGCCCCATTTCTTCTTTAAATTTTGTATTGTTTATTTTGTGTGTATGTGTGCACACATCAGGGAACAATTTGGAGGGGTTATTTCTCTCCTTCCCCCATGGGGGAGCCTGGGAATCAAACCCACATCCTCAGGCTTGGCCACAGGTGCCTTTACCCACTGAGCCATCTCTCACAGCCCCCAATTTCTTCTAGAATACAGGGAACAGGGCTAGAGGGTGGTTCAGCAGTTAAGAACATTTAAAGATCTTACAGAGGATGGGAGGTCCATTCCCAGCACCCACATCAGGTGGCTGATAGCACCTGTAACTCCAGATCCAGGTGAGGACACCCTCTCGCCTCTTCAGGCACCTCTCATGAATGCTGACACTCATACACATAAATAGAAACAAATCTTTAAAAGATAATACAGGGGGTGGGGCTTGAATACTGACTGCTCTTCCAGGGGACCTGGGTTCCATTCCCAGTACCCACCTGGCAGCTCATGGCTGTCCGTAACTCCAAGATCTGATACCCTCACACCGACATTCATGCAGTCAAAACACCTATGCACATAAAATAAAAATAAATTTTAAAAAATACAGAAAAATAATGTGGTAGGTAGATTTAACAAATCCAAGTACCCAGTAAAAAGTTTTGTGAGCCATCCAGGAGGCAAGCCTGTGGCTGATTCATTCCCCAGAGCTGTTGGGATATTTGTGGGTCCCTGACCCTTAGGTACCAGTTGCCTCATACCCTTGTTAATGAACTGGTAATGGAAGGGGGGTTCGATTCTACTTCTGTAACTCTAATTGTTTGGGGTTTTGGTTTGGTTTGGTTTTGGTTGTTTTTTTTTTTTAAGACAGGGTCTCTCTGTGTAGCCCCGGCTGTCCTGGAGCTCACTCTGTAGACCAGGATGGCCTCGAACTCAGAGATCTGCCTGCTTCCGCCTCCCAGGTGCTGGATTGAAGGCTTGTGCCACCACTGTTCACTCACTAATTATTTAGGTTTAAGATCTGGAGAGTTCCTTGTCACCTTGCCATGAGGACCTTGTTTTGGTTTGTGGTCTTGGTGGCACTTTGTAAAGAGGGTGTGTTTGAAATACATGTCACTTTGAAAGTTCAGTCCAGCTACTTCCTGCATGGTTGTTTGGTCCTGGATGGTTTTGTGTCAACTTGACACAAGCTAAAGTCATTTGAAAGGAGGGAGCCTCTCAACTGAGAAAACGCCTCCAAAAGATCCAGTTATAGGCCAGGCAGCAGTGGTGTATGCCTTTAATCCCAGCTCTTGGTAGGCAGAGACAGGTGGATCTCAGTGAGTTTGAGGCCAACCTAGTCTACAGAGTGAGTTCCTCAAAAAACCAAAACCAAAGCCAAAAAAAAAAAAATCCAGTTATCCAGTTATAGGGCATTTTCCTAACTAGTGATTGATAGGGATTGATGGGGGTGAGTCCTGTGGGTGGTGCCATTCCTGGGCTGGTGGTCCTGTGTTCTATAAGAAAGCAGGCTGAGTAAGCCTTGATGAACAAGCCGGCAAGCAGCACCCTCCATGGCCTCTACTTCCTCCAGTGACGTGGAAGTTGAAGCCAAATGAACATTCTCCTCACCAGCTTGTGTTTTTGGTCATGGTGTTTCATCACAGCAATAGAAACCCTAACTAAGACATTAAGGAACTTCAAAACTCTAATTTTGCGTGCTGTGGTGGCAGAGTGCTTTTCTGGTGTCCTGGCTTGGCTTCCTCTTTAGGTTTTGGTATAAACTTCATCTCCACATGCACAGAAGAAGGCCATTTGGATTCATCTTGAGTCACTTAGCAGCGCTAGCTGCTATGGGATGAAATCCACACGAACCAGGCGGAATTTCCCTGAGACCCCACAAACCACAGTGGAGATCATTCAAAAATATCACCCAGATTCAAATTTCGTAAGGACCTCAAACTTGGGAATGGAGCTGCAGCTCAGTTGGTAGAATATTTACCTAAAATGCCCTGACTTCAGCCTGTATAAACCAGTCACGACAACCTTGGGTCTGAACATTCCTTTGTCTGGAAGGAGTGGGGGCCCAGCTTTGTAGGTCCCTGAGGATAAACTAGTATACCAGAAAAGCTCAGTTTGTAACATTTTCAGCTGGGAAAGTAGAAAACAGAAGCCCAGAAGCTGAAGTCAGGAGACAGGGTTAAGGAAAACCTCTAGGGTCGTGTCCTCCAGTGTAGTCATCATCGTGTGTCGTCGGCTGCCCCACCCCCCATCACGCAGCCTGTGCTGAGTAACCCAGTGGTCAACTCATGTTTTAACTGTAACCAAGTTGAAAACTGTGTTTGTGAGACTCTCAGAATTTCCAGGTTTACAGCTGGGTACCCAACAAGGTCAGGTTCAAAGATCACCAGGGCCTAGTTTTAGAATTTTCATTTGAACTCTCTCCCGCTCACCCCTCCCCATCCCTCTCTTAAGAAACTGTTTTGAAACAGTTTCTTTGTGTATCCTTGGCTTTCCTGGAACTAGCTCTGTAGACCAGGCTGGCTGGAACTCACAGAGATCCACCTGCCTCTGCCTCCCCAGTGCTGGGATTAAAGGTGTACATCACCACCGCCCGGCTTAAATAGCTCCCATTTAAAAAAAAAAAATTAAGGCCAGGCAGTGGTAGCACACGCTTTAACCCCAGCACTCGGAAGGCAGAGACAGGTAGATCTCTGAATTCGAGGCCAGCTTGGTCTACAGAGTAAGTTCTAGGACAGCCAGGTCTACACAGAGAAACCCTGTCTTGAAAAAACTAAAACAAAACAAACAAATAAAATAAAATAAAAATAAGTAAAAAAGGAACTCTGGGGACTGGAGAGATGGTCCAGCAGACAAGAATGTGCTGCTTCTTCCAGAGGACCTGAGTCTAGTTCCGGAGTCAGGTGGCTCACAGTCTCCTATAGCTCCATTCTAGAGGAGACACACACACACACACACACACACACACACACACACACACACACAAATAATCCAAAGGGGAATGAAAAAACCCTAAGTTTATTTTCGTATTTTGTTTTTCAGACAGGTCTGTGTCGCCCAGGTTGGCCTGAAATCTGAACTTCCTGGTCCTCCTGCTTCCTCTGCCTCCTGCGTGCGGGGACTGCAGCGTGGATTATGGGCGCCCAGAAGCTACTTTTGCTGAGAGGCATGGACTCCACACTTGAGCCCCGCCCCCTTCCTTTAATTTTTTTTCCTTCAAACTTGTGGGGGTTTTGCTTTGTTCAGTTGGGAAAGGGCCCCCTGTCACACAGGCTGGCCTTGAACTCACAATGTAGCCGAGGATAACCTTGACTTTTTGTTCCCTCTGATTCCACCTCCACAATGCTGGGATTGCAGGCCATTGTCACTTCAGCAGGTCAGATAGTTGAGAGGCAGGGATCCTGACTTTAAGTTCAGATCTGAAGCAATGCCAATGACAAGGGACACCTGCACACTCCACCTACCGAAAGAACAAAGTCACAAACGACACTGCCAGGACCAGTTTGGGTGGGAATCCTACTTTCCACAAACCCAATCCTTTTTTGGGGGAGGGGAGCTCATTCAGATCTCATTTTCTTCTACCGAGACTTAAACTAAAAGCTATATGGAGCTAACCTGAGGCCCAAGTTCCCTCCCCACACCCCCCTTTTAGGAAAGGCCAGGTTGCCTATTAGTTAGGGCCTCTAGGGCTGTGAACACTATTGCTATGAAGAGACACCGTTACCGCGGCACCTCTTTTTTTTTTTAAGATTTATTTATTTATTTATTTATTATGCATACAATATTCTGTTAACATGTACACACCAGAAGAGGACACTAACTAGATCTCAATATCAATGGTTGTGAGCCACCATGTGGTTGCTGGGAATTGAACTCAAGACCTCTGGAAGAGCAGTTGGTGCTCTTAACCTCTGAGCCATCTCTCCAGCCCACGGCAGCATCTCTTATAAAGGAAAATATTTATTTGGGGCTGGCTTACAGTTTCAGAGATTTAATTCATTACCTTTATGGCGGGAAGCAAGGCAGCATGCAGGCAGACATGGTGTTGGAGAGGTAGCTGAGAGTTCTACATCTTGACCTGCAGGCAGCAGAAGGAGACCCTGTGCGCCGCAATGGGCAGAGCTTAAGCATCAGAGGCCTCAAAACCTGCCCGCACAGTAACACACCTACTGATAGTGCCACTCTGTAGCCCAAGCATTCAAACACATAAGTCCACGGGGGCTGTACCTATTCAAACCATCACACCTACCTTTTGTGGGGGAGGAATTAGAGTGGCCCCTCCACCACCTCCTCCATTTGGCCAAACTAAATCTATTATCCATTAACAATTTGGGGGAGGAGGGGTGAGACAGGCTATCTCTGTACAGCCTTAGCTGTCTTGACACTCGCTTTGTAGACCAGGCTGGCCTTGAGCTCAGAGATCCACTTGCCTCTGCCTCCGAGTGCTGGGATTAAAAGTGTACCATGGCTGCCCTGGCCTGGGCCCTGTCATTACCAATTTTTGTTTCCTAGTTTCTTTTAAAATATAAGAAAACCAAGTGGTAACTCTGATGACTCTTCTTCGGACCAGTAACAACATTGTTGCCACGATGGAGGTGCTGGGACCACAATGGCCGCTGATACAGGCAGTAGCCCAGACCTGGAGGGTTACAGTAGCCTCCAGTTATGTAAAAGTACACACCTGAGCCCTATAGGCCTGGCTCCCTCACTCCTTACGAACAAGAGGATTTGCTCTCTTACTGGAAACTCCGGGTTTCTACAGCTTTTGCCCGTGTGGCCATTCTTAGTAATCCAAACCCAAAGACAAACTCCCACAGGCACCTGCAGGTGTGCTGGCTTAGAGCCTCGCCTGTAAGTCCAGAAACCAGACACCCAAGGTCACCTGGTCCAACTGCAAGACATTTGTTTAAAATATTCTTAATTTAAAACATTTTTCATAGTTTCTAATGTGCCGGTCCTGCATGTACCAGTACAGCACAAGGTTAAAGATGGATTTTCTTTGGGCCGTCAGTTACAAATAATGACATGGAGACTTATCATTAATATGACTGCTTGGCCTCAGCGTGAGCTTGCCCCACTAGCTCTTAGAACTTAAATTAACACATTTGTGTTCATCTACATTTTGCCACATGGCTTTTTAACTTTCTTTCATTGTGTATCTCTGACTCCCTCCATGTCTCCTGGGCATCTCTCTTCTCCTCATTTATCTCCTCCTCTTTTCTCTCTCTGTGCCCAGAAGTCCTGCATATCTCACAACATAAGGTCGATTAATTTAAAATAAAATCTCAATTACAGAGCAGCTAGGTAGCAGGATTAAGCCTGTCTGCTTTTCTGAGTTACTCAAAAAAATAAAAATAAAAAACCCCAAAACAAAAACACCAAACACCCACGACTTTCCAGACACTTTGGGCTTCCTCACTCTCTGTGACTCACTTCCTCACCTGCTCCACTATGTGGCTACTTCCCAGTCAGCCTGACTAGGAACCCAGCTCGGCCATAGCACAGTGACTTTTCTTGGTATAAATCAGTATCATTAGTATCCAGGCATCTGTACTGGCCTGACCTAGGGGTGTACGTCCTCCTGAGCTGTAGCCACTAAGAGCACCTCCTGTGTACATTCGCCTCTTTCACCTTTAAAAAGGCCCTGCCCACCTTCCACCTCTCTTCCCCCTCCCTCCTCCCTTCCCCACTGTCTCTCCTATCTCTCTCTCCCTCTTCTCCACCTCTCCTCCCCCTTTCCTCTCTCTCTCCTCTCTCTCCTCTCTTCTCTCTCTCCTTTTTGTCTCCTCTCTCCTTTCTTCTCTTCTGCCACTCCTGTCCCAGAGGTCCATCTCCCCTCCCCCCTTTTCCCCTTCACTTTCCTCCAATAAAAACCTCTCCACCTGAGCTCTGTCACACGGCACCTTTATCTCCTGTGCCACTTTTTCTAAATTAAAACAAGCACCATGCTTCTGTTGTTTTCCTGTTAGAGAAACCAAGGTACCCACCTCCACTGCCAAATGAGAAAGAAGAATCTGTCTAGAGTGGAGTTCAGTGGCCATGTGAAGCCTTCAGGAAGTAGGAACTTGGCTGCGCTAAGGCGTCTACAGAGCTGGCCAAGGCAGCTTCCTCCTCTCAGGTGACTCTGGTTGTCAGAAGGGACTTTCTGCTAACCTCTTCCACAGATTCAGAAACTGAGTGTGAGAGTGGACCCCAAGACCAAGTGGCAGAGGGCTGCCCACCTCTATCTAAGCCAGAGGGACCTCTCAGTTCCCAGGTGGCTCCACTGTAAAAAACGACATGTCTCAATCTCCTTAACTCCGGGCCTGGACAGGCATTGGTCAACCATAGGTCATACTCCTGGAGCTGTTTGGCAGGAACATCAGCTTATTTGGCTTCCAAGAGACTACAGGCCAAGGCTCAGTGCCAGCCTGGCCCTTGGACAAGGACAGTTCAGCTTGGGTCCTGGTTTCCTTTGCTGTAATATAAGACAGTTTGTGCTCCAAGAGTATCAAGATGGTCCTGGGCCCTGGACAGATCAGCTTCTTCAAAGGGTCGGGTTTTTTTTTTTATTTATCATGTTTTAATCATGTGTCTGTGTGTGAGAGAGTGTAGCACAGACATGCCAATGCATTGGCCCTCTGAGGCCAGAGGCATTGCATTGCCTGCAGCTGGAAGAGGCAGTTGTGAGCCACCCCCATGAGTGCTGGGAGCCAAACTTGAATCCTCTGCAGGAGTAATATGCACTACTAACCACTGCACCATCTTCCCGGGCCCCGGATGAGGCATTTTAAAAGCTGGGATTGTGCACAGGTGTTAACATTTACTCAGAGTGCAGGTGACTGCTGGAAATGCATGGCCACTAATCAAAATGTAGAGCTTTTAGAGAGTTTCCGCTAACTCATAGTACTCAATAGGAAAGCAGGATGACGAATCCGGCTTTTTCAAGAAACTAATTATTGTAAACTCAGCCTTCTGCAGAGGCAAAGTTGTAGCAGAAGCTCTTCTCTGTAGAGATTAGGACCCTAGCATGTGCTGAGACGTGGCTTATAGAAAGGATAGGATGGCAGGTATCCTTGGCAACAAACGCCACAACAGGCAAGACTAGAAGAGCTAGAAGCCAGATCTTGATGACAGCAGACACTGGGCTAGCGCTCAAATTGTGGGGAAGCTGTTTGTGCAGCCACGAAGGCCTAAGGTTTTGAGGCTAGGCTCCTTCTCTCAGTATGAGGAGTCTTGGTGTCCTGTGGAAATGGTGACTTGAGCAATCCCTGCACAGAGCCTGTGCAGGCAATACCCAGAGCTGTCATCCCAGCATGTCCTCAGTGACTTCCATAGCATGCTGGGGCAGGAGAGACGGAGGGCAACCAACCGGAGGAGGAGCGACAAGGAGGCCAGAGTGAACCTCCTTAAGGCCATTATTTTTCTTTTTTCCTTTTCTTTTTTTTTTATTCATTCATTTACCATGAGGCATCGGTGGTTGATTTTTGAGAGCAGTCATTGAAAAGCGAGTTCTTTTAAATAAAGGAAGAGTAACGATTAAGTTTTCAGTTAGTGATTGCCGCGTGATAGCTTGAGTTTGTTTTCACATTGAAACCTGTTCTGTAAGTTTATCTTTTTCAACGTGAAGCCTTCAGCAATGTAAACTTGTCCAGCAGTCAGCCTTTCTCACCAGGAAACCTAGAAGTTCTAGAAAAAAAGTATATTTACATATGAAACCGACTGACGGAACAGCTGCAGCTTTGCGGGAGGAGCTAGCTAAGGTTTGCTTGCTGCAGCTAAACTGTGAAGCGTCCATCATCAGAGCTCACCATCAGCACTGTCACAGACATCAGAGGGGTAAACCTGAGCCAGAAGCATAGTCCAAATGGTCTCTGTAACAGTTAAAATGACAGAGACTTACCCACTGCCTGGACAGCCACCCTGGGATCCTCCGTGTTGGGGGCAGAGGTGGTCAGCCTTCAGGTGTCACAGGGGACAGCATTAAATCTTTGGCTGCCATACTGGGCAGCATCAGCCTTCAGCTGTCAGACATAAATGGTCTGAGAGATTTTCCTGTGCAAGAGGAACTTGGGGAAACTGACCTGCCTAGGTGAGGCTGAGTAGGGCGGTCTACCCAACAATGTTCTTAGCTGGGGTCGGATCCTGGCAGCGGGCAAGGCATGGTGCAGTTCTTGGCCCAGTGGTCAGCATCACCACATTTGAAGCAAGCTCCAGAGGGAGTCTGTTGCTGTCCATCTTCTCTGGGGATAGCCTTAGCTGCTGCTACCAGAGCTGGTATTTTTGTCTATCAGGGGAAGACTTTGTTCATTAAACACCTTAAATGCCCTATTCAGCGAATCTCTCCCAGGGGCTTGAGAGCCACCATCTAACCTAAGGTATAATTAGGTATACCTGACTTCAAACAAATTTTACTTATTTTTTAGTTACTTGCTTCAGGCTTAATGCTGACAACATATATAGAGGGGTACAGTTTGCCCTATACAGGAATTCCATTTGCACTCAGCATGACATCAAGCTTAGTTCTGAGCGCATTAAAGAATCTGATCATTTTTAAGGTGACTACTAACTTGTGTGTCCTAAGTATCTGTAACAGTTCACAGGTTAATGGGTTTTTTTTTTTTAAAGATTATAGTTTTGTGTGTTTGTTTGGAAAAGAAATAGAGTTAGCATAAGATACCCCAAGACCAAGTTCTAAGCCCAAAAAAGGTTTATTTGCCCCAGAGGGACAGAGGGCAGGAAATAAGAGACAAACACAGGAGAGAGGATGAGGGAGAAGGGGAAAGGAACAAAGGGGGGGATATTTGCCCTGGAGGGACAAAGGACTGCCTCTGGATAGAGAGGAGACAGATGTGGCCCATGAGCAAAAGCCGGTTTATAAAGGTAAAAGGGGGAACCCTATGCTACAATAGGTGTTTAGTTTTGATTGGGTATGTTAATGAAATCAGTCAAAAGAGGCTTTTGATTGCCGGCCTTTAATGACTTTGGTGGTCAGCTTCAGGAGGAGGTAGTGGTCAAATGCAGATAGCAAAGACAACAGTAACAGACACCTCTAAGTCAGTATCTGTTAACCTGAGAGACCTTTATAACTTAGGAGTTTCTAAACCTTAATCAGCAAACACACCTTATTCACCAAGGATACATTATTTTTAAGTCCTGTTTTCCAGGAACCTTGTTCGTGGTTTGTCCTCATCTGTTATTTTTTACTCTCATGACAAAAAAAAAAATTGTACAAAAATCCATTCCTAATCCAAAGTATCTTGGAGACCCTGCTGTGTTCTCTTTATTCAGAAAAAAGGAGCCATAATGAAAAGCAGAGGGTTCGGCAGAACTAAAACGGTTTATAGGCCTTGCCTCGGTTGGTTTATAGTGCTTGCGCCTGGTCACTTTAGTCAGGATGGAGATGAAGCCACATAGCATCTCCTCTCTATACCCTTAATAAAGATGGCTGCCACACTGTTGCTTCCATCCTAATGAGGTCATCAACCTAGATGGTTTCAAGCCACCTGGTTACTATTTACTCTAAAATGAGCCCATCGGGCACATACCCTTTTTTCTTTTTTAAAAACATCTATTTTCCTAAGTAAAAGTTGAATCCAAGTTTCCTATAAACATGCTGTAATTTTTTACCTATTAATCCTTTTTTTTTTTTTTTTTTTTTTGGTTTTTCGAGACTGGGTTTCTCTGTGGTTTTGGAGCCTGTCCTGGAACTAGCTCTTGTAGACCAGGCTGGTCTCGAACTCACAGAGATCCGCCTGCCTCTGCCTCCCGAGTGCTGGGATTAAAGGCGTTCGCCACCACCGCCCGGCCCCTATTAATCCTTTTTGTTACAAGCTTTAAGCTAACTTTTTTCTGTTACAGATTTTTCCAAAGTTTTTAAACTACACCCAGTGAATTTACAAATAGTAAGATACTGTAAGTTTGCACAGTTATAAATCTTGAGATAAAGTTTTTATTTTAGCAAAAGTTTTAGAGATAGAAGAGAGAGGAGCATTTAAAGAGTTAAATATTGGCGCTCCGGGAACCCCATGGAAGATGGGGAGGAAGAACAGTGGGGGACAGAAGGGTTGGGAACACTGGAAGAGCATGGCCACAGAATCAACTAAGCAGGGCTCATGGGCCCACAGAAATTTGGGAGGAATTTTTATTTATTTTATTTTTATTTTATTTATTTATTTATGTATTTATTTTGGTTTTTCAAGACAGGGTTTCTCTGAACCTGTCCTGGAACTAGCACTTATAGACCAGGCTGGCCTCGAACTCAAGAGATCCGCCTGCCTCTGCCTCCCAAATGCTAGGATTAAAGGTATACATCACCACCACCTGGCAATTTTTAAACAAGCGTGTTTGGGCCTAGAAACGGAGTGCATAACCCAGCCCCAGAGACAGCTTTATGAAATAGAGCAGCATGTGACAATATTTAAATACTATTCTTACCCAAAAGACATTTGAATCTCCATGATACTGACTTAGAAATCAGAGGGGAAAGACCAGAAAGAGCAGAGCAAAGAAAGTGCAAAAATAAGAGATTTGGGGATTCTTTGTTTGTGCAGTGGTGGAAGTCATTACAATCTGTGATAAATTGAAACTCAAGAGCATCGTTGGTCACTGAACTGTACTGAGGCCAAGATGTTTGCAGTAAGACAACGGGGCTTAATGGAACCTCTGAGAACAAGAAGGAAAAGAAACCAGAGAGTCAGGGAGGGGTGTTCTGAATGGGAAGAGTCCATGGTTAGAGACCAGAGAGTCGGGGGAGGGGTGTTCTGAATGGGAAGAGTCCACGGTTAGAGACCAGAGAGGCAGGGAGGGGTGTTCTGAACGGGAAGAGTCCACGGTTAGAGACCAGAGCAGGCTGAGAGACGGACAAGCAGGGAGAAGTCATTCTCTATAGGAAGTGGAGAGGCTTAGGGAAAGGGTCACAGACAGGGACTCCTCTGCCAGAGGGAGGATTCCAAAGTCTTGAAGACCCAGGAGGGCACAGAGAGTCCCTGATGTACCTAGAGGACTTAAAACAGAAGGTTCCAGCAAGCCAACAAGAGGGACAGAATCGAGCAGGCAGCTCCTGAGGGGTGGATGAGGAGAGGCAAGGGGTTAGCCATAGTTAGAGACAGAGTAAGCTCCAGGAGAGAGCTGAGAGACGGAGCTAACAAAGAGGCAGCTAAGAGCAGAGTTAGGGATGGCAAGAGAGACAGATCAAGCTACAGGTGTAAGTTGGGAAAAAGCAAGGAAGGGAAAGAGAAAAGTGCCCTGGTTACAAGAATCTCAATCTGGGGCAACCCCAAGTCACCAAGAGACTTGCCAGAGAAAA